CAGAGTTAGGAGTCAAAAATCCTAGCATCACATTTCTACTTAAAGTAGGCAAGAGACGTATTGCACTTCAATGTCCCAAACTTTCTCCAAAGTCCTAAGAATACTGGTCACCTAGGCTGTCTCAAACTGCTAAAAGGACACAGAACATAGTGTATGCCTACTTTTTTTCTTTTTTTTTTTTTTTAAATTTTTCTCAGGTGCCGGGAACCGAACTCACGACCTTGCGCTTGCCAAGCAGGCGCTTTTGCAGCTGAGCTAAATCCCCAGCCCTATGCCTACTTTTTGTCTAGAGAGAAGAAAATAGACTAGTGGTCACCAATGTTCCTCCCAGAGATTCATCAAATATCAGCAAATGAAAACCCCAGGGGGGCAGTGACAGCTTTTCAAGCAGTCCTTCTTACTTATGGACTCTGGGAGTGTTTCTACAATTTTGTGTTTGAAGGATGGTAAAGTTCTGATAAAATTGCTTTTGTCCATGGATGTCAAATCAACGTTCCTGTGGAGATTTATGTCCAGGCATCTTACTTTACCACATTCTTATGCTCTCCTCTATGATTTTAAGATGTAAGTCAATGCATATGCCCCAGAAAATTGAGTCCATTTTATTATTATGTATGCCTCTGTATGAAAAATAAATGTATACAAGTATATATTCATACATAAAAAACTTGATTGTAATAGAAGTTTCATTCTATACATATGCAAAATGAGGTTTACTTAATTGGATAAGAGAATTGAGTTCTCCTATTGTCTTCAAACTTCTTTTTATATGGACTCTTCAAATATAAAATACTGAATAGTATTAACAAAAATATGAATTATTTCTGGGAAATGAGATAACATATGATATCTCCTAAGAGAAATAGGTGAAAGACTCTAGTTAGGCATTGGATTTATGCCATATGAATATACTATTACTGTTACTTGGATTTAGATTTATTAATATTTTATTACTATTATACATTTTATAACTTAAATATTAGATTTCTGTATATCATATTCTTTGCTTTGTCTTTTTAGGATTTTTCCCAATGTGTTGTTTATGAGTTTAAAAGTATTAAATTCAGTAAGTGAGGTAAGGAAAGAGAAACGCAGTATGCAGCATCATGAATATGGATCCAAAATTAACAGATAATTGCTACTTACATGAATTGAAATGATATAGCCCCAAGTAAACCACAGATATTAATAAAGAAACAGTATTTCTCTTTGGGTAGGAGATCATTCTTTTTCTAACCCTGGTTCTTCATCTTGAATAAAATCAGTACTATTGATCATAAAATATCAGTAGAAGTTAGGATGTATTAAAAGTCAAATATTTGGCTATATTTCTTCTTCCTTACACACTGAATAAACACAGAGAGGCAGAAAATGTTCCTGCCATCTACGATATATGTAATGAGAATGCTCATTTTGCATGTCCTGGACAAAAAACAATAGACCTGCTTAAGGCTCTTGCATCTTCCTCAAGCCTTGGCACAATTTGCAATTTCTGAACAGATCCATTGCATGACAATTTTGTGTTCATAAGCGATAAAATATTATAATTATGAACATTAAGAGATAGCATGCACCAGGCAAATCTCACAATGCGATAACAGGCACAGCACTAAGAAAAAGCAGTGTCTGGATTTTACTTATGCATTGACCATGCTAGCAGTAGCCCACACAACAGAGAAATGTGTTGCCTCTGAAGGTTTGATAGAGCTTCAGCTCTGTAGATATTTTAGAACAGAATTTGTGACGAAGGATAGAAGCACATTGGGTCATCTGTGGAAAGCTTTCTTATAAATTCCAACTTTCATAAAATAAAAATTGGCTTCTACACTAAAACTGCCAAAGTGAGACCAAAAAATATGTTAACCATTTCTATGAACTAAGAAATATGCTCTGTGGTCTAAATAGGTCACTATCACAGAATGAAAATTTTCTCAATTGAAAATGAAGGTTTTGCTGGCAATCTAGGAAAATAGCTCCCTCTGATGGAAACTTTTGATTTTGGCAGGATTTGAATTAATTAAAAGATAAAAGTCATTCTAGGGAGTAGATCATATGAAGGTGGTGATCATATGAACTTTTAAAAAATGAAATGAAAATCTTCAAAAGTAGTATAATTTTGAAATGCTCAAAAAATATAATTCAACCACATTATCCTTGACAAAGGAGTCAAACACATTCACTGGAAGAAACAATGGCTTTAACAAATGGTGCTGGACAAACTGATTTTCCACATGCCAAGGACAAAACTAGGCCCATGTCTACTACCATGCTCTAAATTAAAATTAAAATGGATCAAATACCTAAATATTAAAATAGAATCCCTAAATCTGCTGCAAGAGAGAATAGGTAGAACTCTTGAAGACACAGGTATAGGCAAAGATTTCATGAACAAATCCCTGATCACATGGAAATAATACAAAGAATCAACAACTGGGATCTCCTCCTACTAAAAAGCTTGTGCACTGCAAAAGTAATCACAGAGTGAAGTCAGAACACACACAGAGGGAAAATAATTTTAGCTTGTTTTCTCTCAAAGGACTTATATCTAGAACATGTAAGGAACTGAGAAAAATCAGACCCCCAAAATAAAGATTCAATCCAAAAATGTTCAACATCAATAGTCATTTGAGAGATGCAAATTAAAATTATGCTGAGATTCCATCTCACTCCAGAAGGAATAACTATTATCAATAAATCAACCAATAACAACTGATAGCAGGGCTATGGGGGAAAAGGAACACTTGTCCACTGCTGGTGGGAGTTTAGACTGGTGGAAGTCAGTGTAGAGATTCCTCAAAAAGTTAAATTTAGAACAACTCCTGAGTTGTTTAATATCAGCAGACTTTCTGTACAGGAAGTTTACAGTAAAATACACTGAAGTGCCTGTTGTGGTCAGGTCATTTTATTTTATTCCTATCACTCCTGCAAGTCTAGTTCCTCCTCCTCTGCCGGTGCTTCCTCCATTTTTTTAAATAAAAAAATCAATCCCTCCCCACACATAAACACAAACACACTACAAACTCAAACTAGATGTTCCATTTGACCCAACTATCCCGCTATATCCCTTCTTAGTACCTTTCTGAAAGAATTAAAAGCATCATGTACTTTATTTTCATTTCCCCCCATGTCATTATTGAAAACTCTGAAGTCCTCTATTGTTAAGTGATTAAAAAAACAGTTCTGTCAGAGTAATGACTGCAACTTAATTTATTTACTGTTATTGGAATATTAGGATTTTTAATACTGTATATTTACAACACATAGCAGTTACATTCATTTTTGAGAACTAGTATATATACATATTGAATCTTCAGCATTTCCACTCTATTTAAGAGAAAGTTCCATGTGCTTTTGATATAAATGGCTGACCTATTATTACTGGATGAAACACTGTGAAGATATCATTGAAAACCATTTGTTGGATCAAGTGGTTCAACTCTGACTTTTCTTTATTGAATTTTTTAACTTAGTTGATTTAGTCGGGAGAGAGTGATACTGAATTCCCTCACTATGATTGTGTCAGTTTCTATCCGAACTTTTATATTCAATTTTTATTTCATGAAGTTCATATGCCAGCATTCAGTCATATATATTTGCAGTTTTTATCTTTTTCTATAAAACTGTTCCTTTAAACCATGTGTGTTGAAGTTCTTTGTCACCTGTGATCAGCTTTGGCTTGAAGTCCGCTTTACGGAAAGTAAGATGGCTTCTCCTTCCTGCTGTTCAGCTCCTTTTGCAAGCTCTTCGAATACGTCACAATTCCAATACTTTATGTGAATTATTGTATTTAATTCCCACAACATTCCAATGGGAAACCTTTTCATAAGCATCATTTTATAGATATACACAGGTATATGTAGATGTAAATATACATAAACATATATCACTCACTGACAGTCACATTTTGGGAGTTCAACAGACGAGAGTTAAACACAGATTGATTGGGCATCTGCTCCTGTTCTTTCCAGCTTTTTGCTACAACATCCCATTATTGGGATGCACTTCATAAGCACACAGAGTGTTAAAGCTATGACCCAGTTTAATATTTATCAATATAATCCCCAACATTTTAGGAACATACTAGAAATAGCAACTAACTATGCCCTGGACCTTTGTATGGAGCTCTTCAGGGCGTAATGAAGAGAGTTACAAAGTGGGCTGTCTGCTACTCTCCCCAGGGGACTAGCTATTCCTGATGGGAAATTTTAACTCAGGTAGAACTTTAAGTCTCAAAAGAGCCAATGTTAGGTTGATAGCACAGGACATAAACACACACTCAGTAATTTCTGCCCTCAAGGGACATACCCAACTCAAGAGGAAATGGTAAAGGAGAAAATAATTTTCTGTGCATCTAATCATTTTCTACAGAACTATGGGTCGTGAGATAGGTTCTCATTTCAGTGAGATGATGCTTTGGGGACTAATATAAGATTGTTGCTTTCTTTCTTGCAAGTGAAGAGAACTTTATGGAGAAATCTTAGAAAACTATGGCATATTCCCCAGAGTACTCCTCTAACATGCAGATATTCACCGATGACCATTACCTCCTGCATCATCCAAATCTTTGACTACACCTCAGGACTGTGGAGAGGAAGGGCCCTTCAGATCCCAGAACAGGGAGATCTCCTGGGTAAAGGTGAGCATTAAATCATCTTGACCTTTAAGTCCCAAACTGCATAAATCATGGGTTTGTAGAAACATCCTTTATTTATTGCTGTTTGCAGCCCTCATCTGCAGTGAAGACTGCAATCAGGCAATAATATTCAGACACACTGTGAGATCTACTCGAATGCTTCCTGGACAGAGACACCAGATAGAGAGGCAAGCTGAGAACTGGGATTCCTCAGACATCAACATAGGAAGTCTCGCTCTTTGGAGGCCTTGTGTATGTTGTCAGACAATGTTAGCTTGTAAAGCAGCCGCTCTCTCGCTCGCTCGCTCTCTCTCTGAAGGCTCACTGTTAATATCTGTCTTCCTGTCTTTCTGCAGATCCCACTGTGAAGGAAATGAGTATAGAAAATAACTCTTCAGTGATGGAATTTATTCTCATGGGATTGACAGACCAGCCTGAGCTACAGCTTCCCCTCTTTTTCTTATTCTTGGTGAATAATATGGTCGCTGTTGTGGGAAATTTGAGCTTAATTAACCTAATTTTCCTGAACTCGCACCTGCACATACCCATGTACTTTTTTCTCTTCAATTTGTCCTTCATTGATTTATGTTACTCATTTGTCTGTACCCCCAAAATGCTGATGGGCTTCGTTTCAGAGAGAAACATCATCTCATTTTCAGGGTGTATGACTCAGCTGTTCTTCTTCTGCTTTTTTGTCAACTTTGAGTGCTACGTGCTGACAGCTATGGCCTATGATCGCTATGTGGCCATCTGTCAGCCCCTGAAGTACACGGCCATCATGTCCCCTAGAACCTGTTCTCTGCTGATGTTTGGCTCATACTCGATGGGGTTTGCTGGTGCCATGCTCCACACAGGATGTATGATCAGGCTTATCTTTTGTGATTCCAACATCATCAACCACTACATGTGCGACATCCTCCCCCTGCTCCAGCTCTCCTGCAGCAGCACCTATGTCAATGAGCTTCTGAGTTCTGTTGTTGTGGGCACAATAATCATTGTGTCTAGCCTCATTATCTTCATCTCGTATGCTTTGATTCTCTTTAATATCATTCATTTATCATCCACTAGGGCTTCATCCAAAGCCATCAGTACCTGTGGTTCTCACATAATAACTGTTGGCCTGTTCTATGGATCTGGGATACTTACTTATATCAAGCCATCATCTGCTAGCTCAGTGGGCCAGGGAAAGTTTTTCTCAGTGTTTTATACACTTGTGGTGCCCATGCTGAACCCTCTCATTTATAGCCTCAGGAATAAAGATGTCAAACTTGCTCTGAAGAGAATTCTAAAGAGAAACACAAACTGAGTGAACAGCGAAGCTGCCTGGGTCCCTATCCACATTCCTTGGTCATGTTCTTTATTTCTTGATCTTCTTCACCTTTTTGTGTTCTTTTTCTTTCCTTCTCTTTACCGTTTTTCCTACCATCTGGAAGGGAGTTCTATAGTACTAGTTTTTCTCTCTCTGCCCACCATACAATATGACATAAATGCCTATTTTTGGACTTGAGACTCAACTTCAGTTCCAAGGTGGTTCCGACCTAGTGTATATTCCTCATACAAGAGAAAGACACAGAGCTGATCACTTTTCCTGTCTATGGGTAGCACCACCTACTTTTACTATATGTCTTCTTCTTCCAAGGAAAAAATTATACAAAATTATTCATATTTCAAGTGTTCTAGCACTTATAACTACATTAAAACAATAGGGATAAAAATTGTTGACACAGTAAATATCTCCAGATTTTTTCAGCATTTTTTGGATAGTGGCTATTTTGAGAATTTTAGCTTCACATCTCTAATGAAATTGTACACATTTTGGATTAAGATTTTTATGTGTGTGGACCTATAAGGATGGATGAGGCCCATGACTGTGCCAACTTTTTCAAATGCCACTAGCAAAGATAATGTGTTGGTCAACTGATATTTTGTAATAAACTGAACTGAGAGTATCAGTCGGTCCATGTATACGTGGTTTGCGTCTGCCATTCAGAATCACACAGAGGTATTCCTGGATAGTGGACACCATGTCACGGGTAATGTTAAGATTCTTTATTTCTCTTGCTACATAACAAGGATTGTGCTTTGTAAAACAAAGTCTACTGTCATCCTTTTTTGCACACGAAAACATATGCAACGAATCTTGCCCAGTTGGGACTTACTCTTCCAAGACATAAATTTGTCCTCTTCCTTTTGCCTCTTAGACAACTTGACCCAGTGGCCTATACTGGGTGTCACATTTTTTAACATTTCAGTTAACAATGTCGTTTTATTCTGTCGTTTCATTGATAAGGGGATGGTTATATTACTGGCTTCAAGCCACACAGTCAGGGACGTAGAGCCCAGTCTTTGAACCAGCTGTGCATCCTGTGAAAAATGGGAGAAAAGAAGGAGGATTGTGAAGAAGCAGAGAAAATTCCGGAGAATCATTTCAGCATAAGCCACAAAATGGGGTTTCCGTTGTAATGATGCCCTGGGCTAAGGTGGCATTCTCAGAGAGATGATCTGCGGGTGGTTAGGGATGCATACTGATATGCCCTAAATTAAATTATGGGATGGAAGGTGGAGGGAGGAAAGAGATAATAGGAGTTTTTTTTAACTGGTGGCTTCAAGCTCACTCAATAAAAAAAGAAAGAAAAACAAAATCCCCTCCCCTACCCTTAGTTGCACAAGCCATTCCTGCACATTGAGGACTAGCAATCAAAATGAAGTCTCTTCTGCTTTTGGAACCAATCAACCAAGAATTAGAAACAACTTTTCTTTGTGTCTCTCACCCTCATCCAGGGTTTTGCCAACCTCACACTGCCCTGCTACTATCATCTATCTCCATTGTGGGTTTAATGTAAGTGATTTATTTATATTTTCTTTCCTCACATTTTAATTATAAAATACCCTGGCTCCTTAGATGGGATGTATGTTTTCCCAAGTACTATGTGGCCATGCTGCTCATAACTTAGAGAAATTGTCCCTGGACTGTGCTTTGAATTTGGCTAATAAATGTAACATCACCACAAACCCTTCGTTAATGGAGTCACTTAGTCTCCAACTGGATATAACAAATATTTCATTGCCCAACTACAAAAATGCAAGGTGACATCAGAGTGATATTAGCAGCTATCTGGAGGGGAGGCTGCCTATACAGAGTTTAGGTTTGGGTTGCGGTATCAAGGATTCTAGATAAACTATTTGAAGTCAAAATTGCACAGACAGTCAGCACAGGTGTGTAGTTAGGGCTGGCACCATGATGACTCCAGGTCTAAATCTAAATGTCTTTATCGCCTGTACTTTTTGTTTGCCTAGGGCAAGCCACTGTCAGTAGCAAGAGTCTATTGTTTGTGGTGGGCATCCCAGGTCTCTCTATTCACTCTCAGGCCAGGCCTGACACTGATATTTAATTTAACTCTTATAATGTGTTCAAAACTTAATTTCTCAAGCAGAGTCTGAGAATTTGCTAGTATTTGCTTCTTTGTGTTTCTTTAAAGTCACCATAGTGCATATTTTAACATAGTGAATAAAACTGGTTTGTCCTTTACTCTGAAGTACATATTTAATCAACATAGACTATGTTAGCCATTCTAGTCAATGTGAAGACCTGAAGTGGAAATTTACATATGTATGTGCTTAAATTGTCTTTGTTATGAAAGAGTAAAAAGTCACAGTGTTTAATGAACAACTCTGTGGAAAACACAGGAAACAGAATAACCATCACTGAATTCAAGACATTTCCTCATCTCGTTTATAGTCAAAACCTCCAAACTTCGAACTGTTAGAACCCATTGCTCTGATTTCTATTGCTGTGGTTTTGCATTTACCAGAATGTCAGGTAAGTGCGGTCATACAGTGCAGTATGTTTTAGTCTAGCTTTTTTCTTTTAACTTAATGGATTTCAGATTCATCCATTTTGTTAAATGTCTTCACCATTTGTTCTTCTTTATTCCTGGGTAGGACTCACTGCATGGATGTACTATAATTTACCCATTTACTTGTTAAAGTATAATAAAACTACAGTAAATACAAATGCACATTTTTGTGTGTATGGTTTCCTTTCTTTTCTACAAATATTTGCATAAAGACAACCTTATAAAAAAGTGTTAAACTGTGTTTCTGAACAGAATCATTTTATTTTTGATTTTAAAGGGAAAAAAATAACAAAATAACAACAATAAAGACAATTCGCATGCTTAAATCTGGTAATATGAACAACTAATTTGCAGACTCATTTTACCTCTATATAGTAATGTGTGAGAATTCCAGTTGCTCTGCATACTCACAAATACTAGGATTTTCTTTTATAAGCCTCTAGCTCATTTACTAGTTTTGCAGAGGTACCTGACTATTGATGTTATCTCACATGTTTGTTTGCCATCCACATATCATCATAGATAAAGTATATGTTCACATCATTAACTCATTTTTATTACATCATTTCTATACTCGTGAGTTAATACCTTAAAAAGCTTATTACTTCCTCATTAAATTACCTATGCATTATTCACACCATTAATTGATCTGATATATGTGAGTGCATATTTTGGATACTAAAGTTCATTAGTACATTTTAGAATTAAACACCCTGAGGGGCTGGGGATTTAGCTCAGCGGCACAGCACCTGCCTGGCAAGCGGGAGGTGGTGAGTTCGATTCCCAGTACTGGGAAAACAAACAAACAAACAAACAAACAGAATTAAACACTCTGGGATGTAGCTAATTTACTTTCTATATCTACATTTGCTTATTCTAGATATTTTGCTAAAAATGTGGCTAAGCATGAGTTGTAGTTGAAGAAGAGGGCTGGAAGTCGTTGTGGTTGTATAGCCTCTCTTCCTAATCATGTAAGAAATGTGGGAAAGATTACAAAGCTGTTCAATATAATTTCTATAAATATTTCAACAGTTTCCACTAAGTATTCCATAGTGAACTTATTACAAGGAGAAAAGTAGTAAATAAGGCAGATGTGAGCTTTATCCTTATAGATCATAGAGTTCTTACAGGAACATGATAGATAAAGGGAGGGGGATGCCTGATAAGTGTTATGATAGAAATGTACCAGAAGTTATGCCTAATGATAGCTAATATGTGTTGACAATATGCCATAATCTAGGAATAGAGTACCCATTTGACTTCTAGTATCTTATTTAATTGTCACAAGCCGTAATGAATGAGATACCACTATCACCATCTCTACTTTAGAAATTATGAATTTGAAGCCCAGAGAGGTGCAACAAGTTCCCCAAGGTATTATGGTTACTAAACGTGGTCGGGGGAGGGATGAAAACATAGACCTTTGAATACTACAGCATCTACTTTTGTCTGTGGTGGAGAAACTGATGATCTTCTTACCAAATTCTACTACTTAAAGACTGAGCAAAACATTCAGGTACAAGTTCTCAGAAAAATATTTACAGTAAACACTTTAGAAGGAACATAAGGCATTGAAAGATATTTTGGGGTTATTAAATTGATACAATGCCATAAGTGACTCTTTGCACCTTTAATTATTTTCAGTCATAAAATTAAGGAACCCTGGAAGTAACAGTGTGGGAAATACAAGTTAAGGATGCATGAAGAGAGACAGAAAGAACACAAATAGTAGGTTCCCTAATGAGCTAAACATAATGGGAATATGGAATTTATTTTTGGCTCTGACTTGGTGGATGTACAATCTAGGTTAAAGGTGAACTTGAGTAAAATTGTGAGTCTCAGGGGCTAAAAACAAGTCATAGTCCTGAGTGTAAACACAATACTCTTATGTCACATTTACACCTAGCATCTGTTCTTGGGGGAAGAGACTGCATGTTCCTGTACTTTGTTTATAATCAGATGATTACATCACTAAAATCACAGTAAGTCCTCTATGTTTTATAAGTGGCAAATGTGCTAATATTAAAGATTTGCTCTGATGGTAGACAGCTAATATTCTAATCACAAATTATGACATATTGAGAAAAATTCCATGGTATATCAGAAATAGAATCAGGATTTCATCCTCCCAGAATCACAGGACACCAAAGCTCAGAGCCTCATGATCCTTCCTCCCAGACACAGAAATAATTAATGGATAAAGCACAGGATCAAGAAGCCCCAGGTCTGGACCGAGAATGGCGTTCCTGATTTCATGTATACCGATATCCTCAGTATAAAATTGAAGGCACCCTAATCCATGTCCTTTCCCCTCTTTCTTGCAATCCTGCAGCTCAACAAAACTAACAGAAAACAGTGCTCCCGGCAGCGGAGAATGCTTGAAGATATTAATAGAGACAAGTGTCATAGCGCCTCCGTTGATACTTTTCTCTTCATGGAAGAGCTCTCA